CTGTAACCAGTAAAAAAATAGAGGGGAGCCAAAACGTGAATGTGTGACACTTAGGCTTATATACTAAATGTCTTCTATTGGCGCTGCGACGGAAAAGTTATGTTTTCGCCCATACTGGAAGTGACGACAATTCAAGATGGCGGCGCGCTTGTGGAAAAGGTCTATAATCTCGCCGCACGCGCGATGCGCATGCGCAGCAGTTGCGCGCCAGTCCGGTAGAGCGCTCTGATAGTGCCCGCTGCCACGCGCTCCGGCGTTCCCGCTAACTGTGATCAAGGTGGTACCAATCGGTTAAAGGTGTCGATTGTACGACGCCAAACGCTCCTTTGATATTAACAGTTCAAATGTTTGGAATATTCCGATGACATAGGTCAGCCAATTTGAAATACATAATAGGGATGCAATGTACGGGTGTTCGCGTGGATCGCAATTGGGGGACGTCTATAAAAGCCGCGCTTCAGAACCCAGGAATTTCTAGTTCAGTCCTCATCCCTGCCCGTTTCGATCTATAGATGAGCTACATACGGAGATCCTCATCGCAAACACATGACCGCCCGCCAGCGCCACTGACTTTGCGGAAAGTCAATATTTAATTTTTTAAAAGGAGCTTTGGGAGCTGTGGCTGCGAGGCATCAAGAGTTTCCACAAGCGTAATTTCCCACTAATAAAAAAATATAGATATCTTTTTTTTTTTAAATAAAATCTACATCTAACGCGCCTGTAAATGCATGGGGGTGGTGGCTGGTGTGACCCGACAATTCTTGAGTAAATGCGGAACAATTGTGTGAATTTCAGAAATTTTTATTTTTGTTCGTTTATCTTTGGAACAGACAACTACTCACTGTACACTGCAGTTGTCTGTAGTTTACATACGCATCCATTCCCTACCAATACGTTTGTATGTCAGTGAGTAGAGCGATAATACTAATATCACACAGTACGCATATTTTTTTTTTTTTTGCATGTGACATGCGTAGTGGTTTTCAGAAGCCCATGTAGTTTAACTGGCTTCTGGAAGCACTCCAAAGCTCGCCATTTTGTCGAGGTAGTTCATGACGTCTTGGTCGGTGGGAGCTTGACTGCTGATAAAGGAAGCGAACGCATCCATCTCGGCGTGCAGCAGAAGGTTCACACCCGGATGTACTAATAGCCTGCATCATGTGTGAATATAACAATAGATTGTTCCATGTGGCTTTCTATTCTTGTAGGGTAAGCGTATTGCACCACGAATCCGGTCACTTCGTCGAAATTCCATTGGTCTCTGGACAACTGGAAAGAGGTCTCTGGACAACCGATTCGCAGAATGAAGAATGGGGCGAAAGTCCCCGTTTGTCGAACTGTCGAAAAGAGTTGATTAGGGTTGGGTGTGTAGATTGCCGGTGACAGTGGGGGTCAACAGTGAGACCTTCTTTTCAAAATAGAGAGGATGACAAATGGAGCTCTTAGAATTGGCAAGGGTCCGATGGTGAATCGTACCCGGGTTATTCAAAATGATAAAAGTCGGGTTCTTCGTGAGTATGTTCACTCGTAACTCTAGCTTTATGGTATTTGGGAAGACCGAGCGAGGGGCTGACCTCCTGATGCCGTGGTCATATGTGCACTTGTAATGTACGCATATGAATAAATAACGGTCGCACTGTCGCAGCGGCTCTGTGACAGAGTTAGAACCAGTTGAAATCCGATCGCAGCCTTGGTATGCTACCTATGCGCGTATCGGTGCGATTGCTGCATGCCACGTGACCAGGAAAGGCAGAAACGACGGAAGCCAACCCTAAAAAAGTATTGTAATAATTATTAATATTACCTACTTGTTGCTTAATACATGGTTCACTGCGACAGCAATTGCTTTGGTGGCCGAAGCATGCGAAAGTAATCGTCGCGATAAGCGTCAACGCACAATCACCGGACAAAAGCTCACCAATTGAGGAGATTAGCTGCACAAAGGCTTAATGGAAGGACCGTTGTATTCTATCACTGATTTTGATATGAGGATCGAATTTTTGTTTCTGGGGACCGAGAAGTCCAATCAGAAATGTCTAAAATTTTCACGTTCGTTCTGTAAAAAAGAAAAAAAAACTGCAATTTAGAGTAATTACACATACTACACCGACTTCACCTAATAATAATTATAATACTGAAATTCAATCAGGCGCTTTTCTCCCATGCGAAGGACATCATCTTTGCGGGAGTAGGGACACGAATAAGAAAAATATAGCAACTCGTACAATACGGAAAAACGGTGACTAAGGACGCTCGTGGGTCCCACATTTGTTTCCGCTCCAGAGGTACGACCTTTTAAAATCAAACGCGTGGCAGGTTGTCAATGGTCAACGAGTTCGGCCTTTGATCTTGTAGCATGTGTGACCTTTTAAACATCTTTTTTTTTTTTTAAATTACAGATATCATCTTTATATTTCGATATATAAGACGAACAATAAATGAATTGTTTTGGGGATTTTATGAAGTCTACAAAATATACGAGCATAATTTTAATTTCATTTTGGGGACTTCACAGAGGCAACGTCAGTGGGACAAGCTCAGCGGCATACCAAAATAGCCGTGCATCAAAAATCCTGGTACTGAAAAGCCCGGTGCCGAAGCGACCACATACCGAAATGATCGCGTACCGATATCTCCGCACCGAAATGTCCGGTTCCCCATTTCATCGAACGCATTTTTCACCGCCGTAACTATATCAGTAGTCCTACAATTCAACAAAGAAATGTCTTCTAAATTCTTTGCAAGGTTCATTCTATATCCGTTGGATATTCAGGCACGTTGGACATTCAGGCTCGTTGGACATTCCGTCTCTGTTGGATCTTTCGTCTCGTTGGATATTCAGGCACGTTGGACATTCCGTCTCGATTGGACCTTTCGTCTCGTTGGACATTCAGACTCGATGGACATTCCGTCTCGATTGGATCTTTCGTCTCGTTGGACATTCCGTCTCGCCTGTCACGTGACCGATTGGACATTCAGGCTCGTTGGACATTCAGTCTCGTTGGACATTCAGGCCATAAGCGTGTCGGGGGGGGGGGGGCCGACACACGCACGCACGCACGCACGCGCGCGCACACACACGCACGCACACACACACAAGCAAGCAAGCAATAACAACTCTATAGAAGATTTGGCATAATATATATTTATTTTTGCGTGTTTGGGGTGCTTTTGCTGAGATTGCTTCCGCGTTCCTCATTCGTGTAGTAAACGTAACATATAAAAGCGATAATTGGTTGCCTCAATCATCTGTAGAGTTTCTTGTAAATGACGTACGTGGCCGAATACACCTGCTGGCACCCAAACAGCAAGCCGGCAGGAGGACGAGGAGAACAGTGGGAGTGTCCTGCTGAGCGAAGCAAATTCTGAACCGCTGTTCTAGAACGCATCCAAGCAATGCGGAGGGCAAGCTGTCTGTTTCTTGTACAGGAGAAGCAGTGACTTCAGAACGGCGCCGAGCTGTGATTGGTTTTGATTTTAGTAAGGGTTAGTTAAGTGTGTATGTATAGCAGGAATGGTATAGGTGGTATGAAGTTATCAATTTTTTGCATTTGTACTTTTATCAGATAGAGTAGATTTGTACTCTGTTGAGTATTGGAATACTTCTGATTTGTACTCTGTTCAGAGTATTGAAATACTTTGGTTTGCTAAACAGGGACTTGAAACATTTGTATTTTCTAATGATGAACTGTAGTCAATAGTGGACTTTATTTCATACCATACTATTGCAGCTTGAAATGGTTTTATTTTTAACTTATGGAACGTGCGATTTAGGTTGTTAAACATTGAATATGTCTTGTTTTCATGAGGCTTAAGTTGTTTTTCTTTAGTTGCCTATGCCTACTATTGTAAATTCATGAGAGGAACCAACACGCTACCACCAGGACAGTTCTCAACGGCAGCCATTAAAATATCTTTTTTGCTATGGGCTGGAATATATTTAAGGAAAGATCATGTTTGGAAATGGTTCTGGAACGTCACATGGAGATGCTTTTTTATTTATATTTCTTTTTGTATTTAGAAAAACACATCTGTGCTTATAGCACCAAGCAGCTCCAAGATTTGCTTATACTGCTACGAAACACGATTTTTGTTTATGCTCCTGAGCTGCTCCAAAGCTGAACTTTTACTGCTCCAAAGGGGCATCTTTGCTGCTCCCAGACCTGCTCAAAAAGGCTGAAGCTTGCTTCCATCCCTGCACTGCGCATCCGCCCATTCCACACTAAGTGCCCACTCCCAAATTTGTAAGATCTGAAAAAATATGCCCAATACATTTATATGTAAAATTGACCGGGCAAGCGCCTATCCTCCATTTTTCTACGATTATCTCAATTTTGAGTGGGCGTTTGCCCGGTATTTTACGGTAGAAGGTCTTATGTATTCATAAAGCGATCTGACTTTGCTAAAAAAAACCACATGATCTGAGAAAAAGTAGGTGCCGTAGGTAGCCACGGCTTGGTGGTTTTCAAGTGAAGAACCTTGGTCGAGTTACTCTCGATTTCACACAGTGTTGCCACAGAGTAGATGCCGTGCAACTAAAATTTCACTGCCCATTTAAAAAAAAATAATTTAATAAAACCTTTAGCAAAGTTCTTTTTTTTTTGCCTTTGAACTGGTAATTTCGTTTTCAACCATGCAACATCAAAGAAATTATAAATTGCTTCCAGGAATGAGCATTGCTAAGCCATTTCCAGAAATACTCCACGATTTATCAAACACCTTCAAGTCTGCTCACTCGCTTTTTTTCCCCTTCCTTTTCACTATTGCATTGTACTCACCTTTCCAAAGCAGTGGAGAGGAACAAGCAGAAATGTGATTTCTACTAATCACATTTTGCTAAAATTTGATTAGTAGAAATTTCAACTTCTAAGTGCTATTTCGAGACAAAATTTCCACCAGTGCTACCGTTTGGGATATCAGCGACATTATTAAAATTGTGCGAACACCCAGAATGTGTTTTTTTTTTTAACTTTCTAGAAAGAAGACAGAAACACTGCAAGTAGCCCTGTGCTGCATGAAAACAATTTTATTAGTCTTTTTAATGGCATCTGCTCATCTACCTGCATATATCTATGTACAAACATACAAAATAATGTACATATATACACACAACTCGTTCCTTTTAAATACAGAAAGCATCACACACGAGACATTGCTCTTGTGAGGGCTCAGCAAGTGAATGGTTTCTTCCTGGAACATGGTGGGGTAGATAGAAAGATGAGATAATCCACCTGTCATTGTTAGCAGCCCTAACTTGGATGGGAATGGAGTTAGTGGCGGAATATCAGGTCATCCCTTGACTTATGAGTTGGCTGTTTGCTTTATAATCCAAACGTCACCTAAAAGTACCCCTAGCAAGCTTAATTAAGTGTGTGCGCAGTGGTGATCCGCTTCTCACCTAGTATGTTGTGTGAATGACATTGGAAGAGTGAACTACTTTCAATCTTTGGTAAGATATGGGGTCACACGACAGCTGGAGAGCCGACGCCTCAGTAACCTGCAAAATTGTGGTAATCCTGGTGAAGACAGCTATCCAACTCTAGCTAGTGCCGTAGATGGCACGAGTTCTCTTCCGACGCTACGTAGCTCCAGCCAATTAGTCCTTATGCCAACTCATCGAGTGACAGTCTTGCATCCCTTCATGGAGACCAATTTTCGGGATGCGGCGAATGAGGCGTAGAGCTTGACGGACGACGGTGAATACCCCTGGAGCCAATGTGGCATTTGCAGGATGGGCACATTGCACAGAAATGAATTCACTAAGACACAGGACGCGTGGAATGACAACCTTAAACGTGTGGTGGCTTCTTTCCCATTGGCAACATAACATCGAACACAGAACAGGGTCGTTGACAGCAGTATTGTAAACAGGGAGGGGTGCCTAGGTTACCGGCGCCACCTCTAGACGGACGATCCCGGGCACGGCGACCTTGGGCTTTGACTTTCGTTCTCGTTCGTCTTGGGCCGTTGCTAAGGGCAAAACTCTGGGTTAACGGGGTTCGGGTCAGATGCACTGGGTCTCAGTGCTTACACATGCATGCTTGTATTACAAAAGAACTACTATTTACTACTACTGTACAGCATTGTGCACGGTGCACAATATTGAGCTAAGATTCCAACCAACTGCTTGCCACAAATCTACCTCTATGGACCGTATAACTAGTTGCGACGATTTGGATTCCCTTCCTAAGGTCTTCCAGTGCCCAATATGTTGGTAAAAAAAACTGCTTTTGGCTTTTTTTTTCTTTTGCATAGCCATAATCTCTTTCAAATCTTTACTCGGTAGAGCAGTAGCAAATAGAGTGCCTACACTGTTGACCTGTTTGATTTTATGGCTTATAATTTTTGGAAGGATAAATCGATTTGTGTGGCGAGACAATTGGCGTTGAGTCACAACACTAGAGCATCAATCATTCTTGTAAAGGCTGAGACGACATTCGTGTCAGCCGTTAAGCGGTACAGCTAAGCCGAGAGGCCAATCCAAGCTGCCTAGCATAAACAAACATGCAAGCTTTGGCATGCGCATTGACTCTACTGGGCTAGGAGAGCTGAGCATTGCTGCACCCCCTCAAACCCTCATAAAAACATACAGGCAAAACTTAGCGGTGAGCCTGTCTTGTTACCTTGGGGCCGCATGTACAGCTGATATCCATGAGTGGCTCTGATCGAGGTTACTTGGTACCCTTCAAATATTGGCCGTTGAAGTGATATCTAGCTTAGAGGGTCTGCCTAGATACAGTGAAACTATGGATATGCAGATTTCAGCATTTGGACAGCAGCCTGCCTGTTGTTCACATATACACCACAGCGATATTTCAGCTCCATTTAGTCGACACTGGAAACTGCACTGACTTTGCTGACGCAGCGCTGAGACCTCGCTGCGTCGGTGCTAAGCTACGTTCGAGTCAGCGCTGCCTCAGTCTTGTCCCTAGCGCCGATTTAGCGCTGCGATGTACGCGTGAGTCGGCCTCAATCGGCTTTTATGGTGACGCACGAGGCCGCTCCTTTCAAGTACCAGACTGGGGGACTGATAAAGGCAGACTGGTACCGAAAAGAGCGGCTTCACGACACCCGGATGTAATTTCCGACATCTGGAAGAAGCGTCAGCGACGTCGCTGGCCAAGCATGAGCAACACAAACTGCACGGGCACAAACGTAAGAAGCGTCCTGCGGGCGTCGAACTTGGTCAGCAGCGGCGGCAGCATTTCAAGCGCGCGTGCTACACAGGCGTTTCGGACACGGCAGCGGTGATTGGAAGCACGCTGGTGGTGGCTTTGCCACTGGCGCTGGCTTGGACGACACAGCGGCTCATGGCCGGCAAGCGCGGCTCGTCACGTTGCTTGCGCACGTACGGACGAACCGAGTCCTTGCCTGTGGCAGGGTGCGTGAAAAACAGAGGGTCAGCAGCGCAGCGAAAAAGAACCATCTGTCGCCAACTGAGCGCAGCCATGCAAGACGTGCTCGGTCACGGTGACATTTTGCGGCAATTGTCGCGAAAGCTGCGGGAACCGAAGCGTAACACTCACGATAGATAGCCGCGGTTGGGACACTGAGGAAGTAGGTACGTACGTAGTTGGTTCATCTTAGTAAAACATATAAAATAGCGCAAAAAAGACAAGGACAAGAAGTATACAGGACAGGTGCAAACGCAGTCGCCCGAAACTTTGAGTAAACAGACCAAAGTTCTGTTTTCTTTCTTTCTTTTGCCTACGTTTTTTTTAATTTTATACTCTATTTTTTTGTGTAGAAAAGTAAAAGAGCAGATTAAATTTGAAACAAGGTAAATTTTAGATAGTTCGGAAAACGGCAAACGAAAGTGATGTCAACAGTCAAAACCAACATTCCAATTTCCCCGCACTTTTCAGTGGAGTGACGTCACATGTTGTAAAACTTGCATGTCACGCAGGCAGCCTTTGGTCACATTTCAATTTACGGATCGCCTCTCTCTCTCTCACCTCAAGTGAGTGAGGAGATCCTTCGCCGGTCCTTCAAACTTAAGGCCCGTTCACACTCTTGCAACCGAGTACGACCGAGAGAGACCAGACCGGTTTTTAAGCCTCTTGCGATCTCTTAGGACCAGCTCCGCTGCCTCGCATCCGGTCCTAAGAAGTCGCTCTCAGTCGTACTCGGTCGCAAGAGTGTGAACGGGCCTTTAATTGTCAAACGTTGCCGAATGGGGTTTTTGTAAAGAGTCCTCCCGAACAATCCCCGATGAACGGAATGCTTTCGACATACTGCGGGATGGACAAGCCCCGCCCACAAAGAGCTCTGCTCGCCACGATTGGTGGTTTCCTCCTCTCCACTGGCCTCCTCTGTAGGATTAGAAAGTGGACAGAGTGGAGGGCTTTGCGGGAGCGGCTTGTCCTGATTTTCCTAATTTGCAGCACGGCGTTGCAGTGGTACTGCACTGGCTAAACTGCTTGTTTACAGTGGAGGCACCGGACGGGACTTCCCGCTGGCTAAACGTACACGCAACACAATTACGCGCCTCCAATGCTAATCTGCCTGCGCCCTTTGCTGGGTCTCGAACTTCAAAGGGATGCTGAACCGAAATTTTAATTTCGCAAAATAAGGTCGCAGGAGCGTTGAACCGCACGATACGAACTCCAAGATTTCATTGGTTCATCGATATCTCAAGCGGATGGCCGTATTTTTGGAAAAGAAGGGCGCGATCAAGGCGAGGACTCTGACGTCATGATCCTCTTGGATCAGTTGAGAATGAGGGGAAGCGACCTCGCTCCTCTGCTCGCTTCGGTTCACCTGCTCGAGATGTTGCTTGAGGGGACGAAGCGAGGAGCAGAGGGAATGAGAATCGTGACGTCACACCTCTCGTCGGCCTCGTCGCCGTCGGCCGTGTTCAATCGCGCATTTCTTTTTCTCCAGAGATACGGCCATCCGTTAGAGATATCACTGTATGAATGGTGATCTTGAGTTCTGCAGCGTCCCGCTTATCGCTCTAGCCCTGTTTTGTGAGCTCGAAATTTCGGCTCAGTATCCCTTTAATTGACCTTCAGGTTTCGACTTCAATGCAACCACCATTTTTTTTTTTCTTGGTGGGGTTTTGTAAAAGGTCCTCCTGGTCCTCCAGGACAAGGACTATGTCGCGAGCATTCCGTGGTTCACTGCCGCAAGGGCGTGCCAAAGACGAGGAGGCACTCACCGGCCCCGTAGAAGAGGTGCGAGCCCGTGGTGTCCGTGAAGGGCCTCCGCCTGCCGGCGTCGTTGGCGGCCTGCCAGGCCTGGGACCGCATGCGGCCCCGCGGGCCCGTGTACACGGCGTCGACGCTGAGGCTCCGGGGCAGGTGCGTCTTCCACCAGTCGAGCGCCAGGTCCTTGAGGGGCCTGGGCACGCTGTCGGTGCCCAGCCGGTGGAACTCGGCGAGCGAGTACAGCTTGTGCGCGATGTCCCGGCCGACCAGGTTGTGCACGATGGCCGTCAGGGCCGGGTTGAGGCGCAGCACTTGGTGCAGGCGTCGCCGGGGCCAGCACAGGTAGCTGCACGGCTCGATCGCCGTGATCGTCACCTGGATGTCGTTCCAACTTTGTCGCTATACTTAGCCGACGTACGCTACGAGTTCACGGGAGTCACCACCAATCAAACAGCGTAAAAAGTGCTTCGTCATGGTGTTCGTCATGTTTCTGCTGCTGCACCAATCATAAACAGAAAAGGCCCAGTGACTTGCATTTTTGACGCTGCTTGATTGGTGCTTTATAGACCTTTTTTTTCGTGTACTCTCGTCCCCAGTCACCTCATAGGCGTATCCAGTATGGGCGACGAAAAGATAATCGAACTATTCAACCTCCAGATAATAAAAAAAGAGGAAAAAAAAAGAATAGAGGGGAAGCAAAACGAGAATGTGTGACGGTTACGCTTATACCCTAGTCGTCGTATTCAGCATACTTTTCGTTCGGAATCGCGGTTCACATTGTCAATTTCAACAGTGTTTGTCGCACTCAGGGGCCGCTATGAAGATTCTGCAGTGATGGAAGTGCTGCGCCAAATTGCACCGCGCACGAAATTCTGCTACATCTTACGCCAAAGTGCCATTTTCGCTAAAAATTGCGCTACACCTGCGCCAAAATAAGCAACGCAAAAGAAAAAAAGAGGAAAAAAAAGTTGATTTTAATCATGATGTAGAATACCCGATACTGTGGTAAAACGTGGGAAAGTTGGTCGAAGAAAAAGACGGGGGACTCGGCCAAGTTTCCTAGCTTTTACCAGTCTCGGGTATTCTACATCATGATCAACTTCCAGCAGTTCGCCTGCGCACTCACTGTTTTTTTCATTGATTTTAACGTTTAGAGAAGTAGGAGGAAAGGAGCCGCATGCCTCCGTGCCGTGGCGCCTTTCACCAGCGCGTACGTGTCGAGCTTCACCGCTTTAATTGTAATTAACCTTCAATTAAAAAAAAAAAAAATGCGGGTCTGTATTTGAATAAATGATAGTCAAGGTTGTTCCTGTGCAGCTGTCGATCGAAAGAACAGCAAACTTTGACTTCACTATGGTTCCAACGCCGCTAGGGAACAGTGTTCATTTTGGCAGTTCATAATATTAAAGTCTCGAGCTTGGTAGCTTCATAAAACTCAAGAGTCATTTTTGTTGATAGATGAGCTGGTTTTTGCATGCATTTTACAAAACTTATATATATACAGGCTAAATAAATACCGGTTGTAAAAGTGCCAGGGAAGAGGAGGTTTACTCCAACTGGTGTTGCGCTATGATTCATTTTTTCGTCAAATGTTTAGTACCCATTGTAAATGGAACATTCTCTAATTAGAACCTTATTTCTAAAAAGAGCGCTTTGTATTCCTTTGGCGTCCTATCTATTCTTATTACAAAGGGTAATAAGTAATATGCTTTAGTATCAAAGGGGAACCCTCAGTCATTATCAAAGATGAACTCATTTAGTGGTGCTATTTACTTTTTCATTTTCAAGTGATGTGCTAACAGGTGTTGGCATCTTCTCCAAAACTATCAGTGATTGCTCCAATGCTTTGCCTGCTACAGAAGCTGCTACGAAAGGTCAAATACCGCTTCCATCACTGATTCTGGCAAAGCGACTGGTCAGAAGTTTAGCAAAAATCATATAAACCGTATTAAAAAAAAAACAAAAAAAAAACTGGATGGTAACATTTGGTGACTTTCAGTTTGTCTCGGTAATTGGACTTTGGAATCAGAACTGTGTGGCTCTGCGAGGCGAAAATGACGGAAGCAGAACCTGCAGCTTCGAGAGTCGCGCAAAATGTACCCTGCAGCACTGAACATAACAGATCACGTTGCGTTTTATCTTATTTTCGTAGGCTGATATCGTCCCGTTCACTCCGCCCCCGGATGTTCATCCGGCCCGCTCTGTCTCCGCTTTGCGACAATTTGGCCAGCGGCAGCAAAAGGTCGTCGACCCCTGGTTTAGGAGATCTTTCGGCTTACCGTCTCAAGCGCGAACTTCCTGCCTTCGGTAGCACTTAGGCATATAGTAAGCCTCAAGAGCGCACGAGCAGCCGAAGCACGACGGAAGGCATTGAGCCCATGCAGGAGATCCGAAAGAGGCTCCCTGCGTTTACCGTGTTAGCGTTAGCGCTGTAGCAGAACCAGGCTGGGAACGTACCGCAAAAAAGACGTTTCAGCGCAGCTTCCGTTCGGTCGAAAATCAAGTGATGATGGCAGTCAATGCGAGGACGCTTTAGTAGATCGTGCATATAACTTCCATAATCATATTCTATACTTCTCTAGCGTCTTCACGCGTGCGGCGGATCGTTATCGGAGCGCCAAAGCGATCGACTAAAACCCCCAAATGGCGCTCAGTTCCGGCGCAATGCGCTTTTTGAACCTCAATGAACCGAGCGATAGAGTTCCCTATTTTCGTTCCAGTATACGTGGGGCGCATATACGTAGTGCACGCCATCGGAAAGCAAGTCCAATAGTCTATCAGTGCCATTATGTATGTGCATAGAAGTCTGAAATAAAAAGTCTGTGTCATCTGCTATTGTGGGGAGTCGAGGACCTGTCAAGCTGTTTTACAGATTTTTTTTTTCGGTTTTCCCTTTATCGTTTGATGGAAAATAAACTGAATATTATATTATTATATTATTAAACAGCAAAGGCGCGTGAACCGTGAACAAGGGACCAAACTGGTCCCGAAAGTCGGGTAAATTGATTACATTTTTGGTTAGAGTCCCTATATAGACATTTTTTACGGCACAGTACGCGTAATATTGGACGTCATTGACTTAAAAAAAATATTAAAAAAAAACATTGCGTCTTTCGTTTTTTTTTTTTTTTTGACTACATTGAGTTTTGTTTATTTGCCTTTCTTCTCACGTGCCATGCTTGGTAAATGGGGAGACTTTAAAACCAGACCACGTAGCTCAGGACCAGTTAGGTTGTGCAAGGAGGTAATTTGTATTAGCTTCTATAACCACTCAAATAATCCTACTTTTGCAATAGTAGTACATTACTGGCGGTTGTAACAAAATTTTTGGGAGTACTAAAACTGGCTCGTAAAAGAAGCCTGAAAATGATTTCCTGTCGCAGGGCTGTCGAACACACTCATCCTAAAAAGGGCTCTGGTAGCCTTCTCACTATTCCTAAGCCGCCATCGCAGGAATTACATTTTTCTGCTCAAAAAAAGATAATACTGCCAGCAAGGGCTCTAGACTCGTCAAACCCAAAGCCGAATGCTCGCTTAAAGCGCTGATTTTGATTAAAAAAAAAAAAAAAATTCGGCAGCATTTTTGAAATGAAAGACAGCGTAAACGGCAAGCTCGGCGGGTTTTTTGTTTTCAAGCTATTGGCCATTGAAGCGGCCGAGGCGAAAACTGTCATTTTTTCAGCCTGTCGGCGATGGCATGTTTGACCACTCGCTAAATAGCGAGTGGTCAAACATGCCGTCTCCGACAGGCTGAAAAAATGACAGTTGTCACCAAAAAGCCCTAGTGCAATAGCTTGATAAGTGAGAAAATATTTTCTCACTTATCAAGCTATTGCACTAGGGCTCTTTGGTGACAATTTCATTATAGTTTTTTGTGCTATTGAAATAAAAATAAATTTTATGGTTAGGAATATATATATATATAAAAAAAGAACGTTGAAATGTGTCTCTTAATTTAGTCATTTTTGGCAAAGTTTGGCAGTTTTTTACGCGTTACCTATTTAATGTAATGTAATTAACTTGATATCATAAGAAAGCCTAAACTTTGTTATTTCCATTCATAATAAATTTAATATTTTATGTAAACGAAAACATGTGCTACATACATTTGAATTAATCAATATTTCAAAAAATCTTGGGAATTCGGAATAAATTAAAAAAAAAAACTTTCTTATTTCCTTCATATTTGAGTAGCAGTAAGGTATGATAGTGGTTTATTATAAAATATAAATAAAAAGTGTAGTATGTTGTTTGTATGTCTGGAATGAAAGCTTGAATCTCTTAAAATGTGCGTTGTGAATGCGCCTTCGCATGGGTGCTGTTATGGCCAATATTGTGGTATCGATATGATTAATAACCTAATAATAACACTTAGCATCAAAGTTAATCATAAATGGGGCTATAATAATACGTATTGCGTAACAACTTTTTTTTTTATATGAGGCTGTCACACTACTACACTATGTAAAAACAAAAACAAAAATTCAATGCATAAAATGCTCGACAAATAAAAGGACATATCAAAGGGTAAAATTAAACATAACCCTACAGGATAGTGAAACACCACTATAATAGATAACACAAATATTTGTAAAAGTCACACTTTACGAAAGTTCCTAGAACTTAAGTAAGCGTTTGCACTCTGGGGACTGCCGTTTAGACGATCAAGGTATTGAATTTTATTTACATGTATAGGTAGGTTTAGTCATCAAGCTTGATGTTAAGAACTTATGCTCGACTCGTTACCAGAAAATTTGAGCAATGTTACTTATTCAGTCTATAAAACGCACATCAGAGCTAGTTACGTAACGTTTCGCGCCGAATAAGCACAAAAAGCAAAAAAAAAAAAAAAGAGTTAATGTTTAGCAAAATTTTGTACACAGTCAAGTTAAAAAAGTGACCGGTTGGGAGAGATTATGACAGACTTATTTGCTTTAAGTTGACAAAAAAAAAAAGCGTAAAATTGTCCTTCAGAAAAAAAAGTCGGTGAATTGTATTGAAATGAATTAAATGCTTGACAGATGTAGAAATACTATGAAGATAAAGCCAACCTATGAAGATAAAGCCAACCAGCTTCTTGACTGCTCGGCTTACAAGAAACTCAAACGGGACCCAACATCAGCAATACAGAGAAACTTGAACAGGGCCCTGGCGCTCATTTTCAAAGAACACCCGGAATCGAAGAACCTTTACCTGCGCCTCATCTGCAGAAATGGATTCGCACCGGGATTCTACGGACTCCCCAAGATTCATAAACCTGACGTTCCCCTGAGACCTATCGTAGATTTTACAACATCACCACTCAGAGCATTATGCGACTATCTCCACCGAGTTCTATCTCCTCTCACTGGAAATACTACAACATACATACGAAACTCGTGTGAGTTCGTGGAACGCATATCACAGATAAATGTCAGCCATGACGAGTGCCTGGGGTGCTATGTTGCGCTTTTTACACTCCCAGGAGACTTGGAAGAGGGAAGTGACGTCAACGACACAGCAAACACAGATTGGGTGTTGACAGAAGAAAACGAAATCAACACCCAATCTGCGTTTGCTGTGTCGTTGACGTCACTTCCCTCTCCCTAGTCTCCTGGGAGTGGAAAAAGCGCAACATAGCCCCCCTGGTGTCATTCGACGTCATTTCCCTTTTTACGAATGTTCCCGTTCCCTTGGCCATCGCTGCAACCAGGGAAGCTCTCGAGAAAGACGAGGACCTGGACACCCGGACATGCCTCAGCAGGGATGAGCTATGTCGCCTACTTGAGTTTTGTCTCTCGAACACCTACTTCACCTTCAAGGGGGAGTTCTACCAACAGACCAGCGGAACGGCAATGGGCGCTTCCATCTCAGTCACAATGGCCAACCTGGCAATGGAAGCGATTGAGCACAAGGCGCTACAATCATTCAACCCCAAGCCCCAAATATTCCTGCGGTACGTCGACGACTGCTTCTGTATCATGCAAGCGTCAGAAGTGGACAACTTCCTGGCTCACTTGAACTCCATTGAACCAGCCATCCAATTCACGGTGGAGCACGAAATGCACGGCTGTTTACCTTTCCTTGACGTGCTAATCAAAAGACAGGGTGAGGCACTGAATTTTACAGTGTATAGGAAGCCTACGCACACGGGACGATACCTCCAATTTGATTCAAACCACCCGCTAAGTCACAAAGCGTCAGTAGTTTCGACACTTCTGATGAGGGCAAAGAATATATGTTCATCTGCAACAGACAAAAGGAAAGAGGAGCAAGCGATCACCCGTGATCTAAAAAATAATGGATACACAGGTAACTTCATTCGCCAGATCACTCACCGTCTAAACCGCAGTCGCCGAGACGGGCAACCTACTGGGACTGCACGTCCTAAACCGATTGCACGCATCAGCATACCCTACACAGAAGGGATAAGTGAAACACTATCCAGGATTTTTGCAAAAGAACACGTCACCGTGGCCCATAAGCCTGTGACCACACTCGGGCGTTTTCTACCTCGGCCAAAAAGTCGTCCACCCAAGGAAAGGGCCCAGGGTGTAATTTACCAAATATCCTGCACCCAGTGTCCCGCCTCCTACATTGGAGAAACTAAAAACTTCAAGAACGGCTCCGTCAACACAAAAATGACGTACGCAACTTCGACCGCGAACGCAGTGCTCTGGCGGAGCACTGTGAAGTTAATGACCACCGTATCGGATTTGAAGATGCAAGCATTCTGGGTACTGAGACGAACCTACGCAGAAGACAGCTGATAGAATCCTGGCATATTCAAAACACCGCAAATAACATCAATAGGTCTCTAGGCACCTTACCCAGTTTATATGTTCATGGGTTACGAGATACAATCAAGACGGCGCAGGCAAAACGAAGACAACCAGCAATCGACAATGAAGAAGAAGAGATAGCCAGTTCAAAGAAAGACAAAGAAGCTATTATCCCGTTTAGTCGCCCCTGAGGAAGAAACGAACTGGTTCGAAACGTTGGGACAATTTTTCGACTTTTTGGTTGGCGTATTTCTTTATTCTTTACAGAAATACTACAGAATTGTACAACTGTGTCGAAATGTTTTCAAAGCACGCACCGTGGTTTCAACGCACAAAACATGTTTTACTGCCCGCGTTCAAGTTCTCAGGGCTCTATCTAAGTTCGTGTTCAAGTGCGTTTTTGATAGAACACACGTGGGACAGAACGCAAGCGGTACACAGGCGCTTCTCTCTAAAGCGCCGGTCACACTCTTGCGACCTATTAAGACCGGGAAAGACCAGACCGGTTTTCAAGCCTTTTGAGACGTCTTAGGACTCGATGCGCTGCAGCGGAGCTGGTCCTAAGAGATCGCAAGAGGCTTAAAAACCGGTCTGGTCTCTCTCGGTCTTCGGTCGCAAGAATGTGAACGGGCCTTAACACGAAAAGGTGAGTAAAGAAACAGAAAGAAACACACACACACACACAAAAAAAAAAAAAATGACAGCAGATTATTAGAAGGAAGCACGTATTTAGATACTAGTTCACTACAATACTGAGTTACCGTTCGCACAGGTCAAAATTAAGGCAATTCACTGTTGAAGGCTTGAACGCGGCCGTCTCTCTGCCAAGAGCCCACTGGGGCGAAGTGAATTTATTGATGAAACACGCTTGTCTGTCTTCTTCATGGTCCCATGCTCAGAATATGTTTCCCGCTGCTCTGGAGTTTTACAAACTCTTTATAATATGACGGTATGGTCCCCTCGATCCTTTGCTTTGCTCCACACGTGAGAGGACTGAATGCCCCTTGACGTCCTGACCATCTCCCAGCCCTTCTTCGACTCCCGAAAACGGGTTGGCTCTTCTTGGGCGATTCGAGCAAGCATTACCCCTTTGATTTTATAGACTCATTTTCCGAAGAAGTACTCTCCCGATATTTTATGGCTCTGTTTGTCGACAAAAGTGCGCGCGTCGGTTCTAGAATTCAAGTCCGTTGTTTTCAAATTATGCGTTGATGCGCCGCTCCTTCTTCGCAAGTGCTTTTTCCGTGGCCTTAACGCTGAGTAGATCCACTTGGTGACATTTGCCTTCTTTTCAAATTCGTATAACTGGAAACGATACTTGAAGTGGCTCGGAGCCCCGTCAGAAATATAAATTGCATTAAAAGAAAACAGGAGCAGCTGCTCTTTAAGTCGTTCTTCGATCAATACGAGTGCGAAGAGCGCGTGTGCAGAGTCGTGGCAAATGTCATCGCTTCCCTTTGTGGTTGTGGCTACGCGAGTGAAGATCGTCACCATCTTGTTCTGCAGTGGTAACCTTGCACGGCACATTTGGTAACAACGCTCCACTTTTCGGCGAAATCGATGAGTAAGATCACGGCACGTGGCTGTACAGTGCGCAGGCAGCAATATGTAAGACCCACTCGGAGAGCTCGGCAACGCGCTCCGAGTGGGTCTTTCATATTGCGGCGCACTGTACATTCGCGTTTTCGAGGCATGTGGCATTTCGTTGAGCGCGTCTGATGTAAGAGTGGGGTATGTATTTCGTCGTCCACTTCTTGAACTGGTTGAATAAAGCTGTCGCCCCCAAATCAATTTTTATTAACTCTTCACGTCCCCACCAGGCAGGCTCCCACAATGTCAATTCTAGTTCGTGTCGTGGTCTTTTTTTTTTTTTTTTTCGGTGGCATTTGACAGAGATGCGAAGAAAAATGAGAAGTTGGCACAGTACACACACATATATTCTTCGTGAAGTGGGCGTCTTTTTTAACCCACTTAGGACGAAGAAAGTAAAATTTCGTTACGCCTTTCTCGGATTCGGGATGGGCCGCTTTAAATTTTCCGTAGGCTTCCTTCATCGATCTTATCATGAACCGCTTCGTGACGTAGACTTCCTTTCCGTCAACGAAAAGCCGCACGACATCTTCCTTAATCGGACTTTTCCTTGAGCAGTCCGTAGCGTCTGACGTGTAAGAGGCTAGAGCAAGAGCCACATTATTTTTTGTCAATTGGATGTCCTTCGCATTAGGGTGCCTTCATCCACTCTACTTCGCATGGGTCATCTGTCGCCCAAATCTCCACTTCTCTTCTGAGTTTTTTTGACCTGTCCAGCGTGCCTTGCAACTTCAAAAATTGCATAAAAAAAAAAAAACTTTCTTTTTGAGTTTGGTAGCGTTCTATTTACGACGTGCTCTTGAGATAGGCCACACGCAAAAGACCCCTTTGAAGTCCGCTGGATACACTGACGGCAGACCGGCGGAGGTTGGATGGCGTGATCCACCAGGTGGCCGTCTAACTTATACCATCTGTAACTCGGAGCCGGAAAGGAAACACTGAGGAGAAGTGGTGTCTACTTCGAAAGAAATGCGCCACGATTTAAGCAGGAAGTTTAGGTGTAGCGCGAGCAAACTTACAAATACCGAATTTTTTTTATACTCCGCATTATGCACCATTCCCCTTATGTACACGCTACATGTGAAAGCGAGTATTAATATTAGATCATTATTCACATTCATGCCACAATATTGGCCATAACAGCATCCATGCGAAGGCGCTTTCACAAGCCATATTTCATGAGATTCAAGCTTTCATTGTGGACATACGAACAATATACTACACTTTCTATTTATATTTTATGATAAACCACTATCATGCCTTATTACTACAAAAAAAAAAATGGAGCAAATGAAGAATGGGTTTGTTGAAAAAAATCTATCCCGAATTCGCAAGATTTTTTAAACATTGGTTAATTCAAATATATGTATTCAGTTTATATTGAATGAGAGAACTAATTTTCGGCTTTCTTATAATATCAAGTTCATTAAAATATCTTAAATAGGTAACGCGTAAAAAATGATCAAACTACCAAACATTATCAAAGGGACACAGTTCGACTTTTTTTTTTCTAATATTCTAAAGTATACTTTTTTAATTTTAATAGCACAGTGAAAAATATACTGAAATTGTCACCAAAGAGTTTTAGTCTATTAGTTTGATAAGTGACAAAATAGCGAGTGGTCAAATATGCCATCTCCAACAGGCTAAAGAAACGTGTTTTCGTCTCGCCGGCTTCACTGGCCAATAACTTAAAAATAAAAAAAATCCGCCAAGCTTGCCGTTTACACTGTCGTTCATTTCAAGAATGCTGCTAAAACATACATATATATTTTTTTATAAAAATTAAAAATTCGATATTAAAACCGTGCCTGAGTTGAGATGAAAACACCCATAAAGAGAACTTTAAAAATAAAAGTATCCAGGCTCGGCGCAAACTCGCCAAAACAAGCGTAGACTGAACGCGACAGAAAAACCAGGCGATCAATACGACTTTCGCTTTGGGGACTCACCTGAAATAATTTGTCGCTACCTATGGGACAGGACTCGAATTCCGGAGAATCGATGAATTCGTTGGGGTGGATGTAGTGGAGCAGTACGTCTTCGCAGGAAACTTGCATCCTGCATCGCCAAAAGAAACCACGGCATCAGCGCACTACCCGCACTCGCGGCCGCGTGCATTCGGACAGTTTCACAGCTTCGGGTTGGGAACGCCAGGCGCTGTTAATATTTGATCCACTCGTGGAAGCCGGCGACAGAATCTGCCGTGAAATCGTTGGGTTGGCCACATAGGTGCCGTCGATTTTCGCTCAAGTCGCCCCGTCGCACGTTTTGGATTCTACTAATGAATCCTGCAGGAAATCCAGAGCGCAACCGCGGCAGATCGTGTGAGGCACGAAACGTATGCGTGACGAACCGCAGTTTATCGCGTGTCGCGATCAATGTTTCTTTCTTTTTGTGGTTTGCGTGCACAGTAAAAACTCGAGTAGCTAATGCAAAGGTTGGTAATTTTGTGTGCAGACGATATCGAACAACACATCATAAAGGGCCATCCACGATCATCAGGCACCTTTGAAATGGTTGCATCGTATCGTGTATTGTATCGTGGCACAATGAGGAAGTAGGCATAATGTTAGCAGCGTCATTTAGATTCCAACCCAAGATTACAAAATATCCTCGGACACTAAGGTTTATGGCTGCCAGCATGTAACGACTTTTGTATTGTTTCCTCTCCACGGCTACGGGGAGAAGGAATACGTTGCATCTGCGCGGACAAGTAGGAAAGCGTTTCTAGCGATTGTCTAGAAGTGCAAACGTTTGGAGTTAGTTTGTAATGAGTAACACGACAATGTTAACCCAAACAAAAAATCGCCGTTTTTTTTTTTTTTTTAGAATTGTTGTTATCCAGACTTGTGGAAAGTGTTCGTTACACGGTACAGTCAAGTGTGACTGAGGTCAGGCTTAACTGCGATTAAAGAAGGCTGTCCGACAGGCATCCAAAACCGTAGTTAAGCGTGGTTAGAAGTTTTGCAAACTACACCCCAGTTACACCCGCATTTGTGCAACAGCGAAGACTGTCCGCGGTGTGTGGAGCAGTCCATCGTCATTTATTCTCTCTCTCTCTGTTTGAGGTGTGACAAGCGCCTAGGCACAAAAGAAACATAGGCGCGTGAGAAAGAAGAGCCCGGGGTGCCACTCACTTGCCGGTGAGCAGGATGGAGACCTTCTGGTCTGCCGCCGTGGACCCTTCGACGGCGTACTTGTGGTCGGCCTCGATGGAGCACACGTCGGCCGTCTTGACGAGCTCCACAAACTGTTTCTTGCTGACCAGGTAGGGCAGAAAGAGGCGCTCGTAGAGGGTCCTGAGCAGCGGCGGCACCCTGGGTGGCAACGCCTGCCAGGCCAGGTAGGCGGCGTGCGACGCGTTCACCAGCAGGCAGGTCAGGTGCCAGGCGAGCACGTCCGGCGCGCATACCACCACGCCGGCCCAGATGCTGGTCATGCTGAAGCTGAGCGTAAGCAGCCAGCGGAACAGCAGCGAGCTGACGGCGAACCGGTGCGGGATGAGGAAGGCGGCGGCGCAGCACAGCTGAGCGCCCTGCCATAGCACGTGCTGGGCGTCTTCCCAGGCGTCGCAGCCGCCGCTCGACGCGCCCGGGGATCCCGACGCGTTGGCGGCACGCCGGTAGACCTTGCTGGGGCTGCTGCTGCTGCCCGAGGCCTGCTGCAGCATGGACCGATCAGCACATGGGCCGCCGCCGCCCCCGCGAGGCGCCGCTCCTTCCCTGCGCCTTGCAGGTCTTCAGCGGGACCCGCCGAGGAGCCGAGGCCTGCTCAGGACGCCCGCCATCTCTGCGGGGAAAAGCGACCGCCGTGTTCTTCTCGAGATGCCCTCGGTGGAGCGCGTCTCCAAATTAAGTCTGGCGCACACTTTAGCGTCTGACTACGACCAAGTCCAACAAAACGCAAAACGGGGTTTTAAGCTGCTTACGACCGCCATTGGTGCTGTGCGGCACGGTCGTAAGCCTCTTCCCCAGAACTGCTGACTGGAAGTGTGTGAAATCCTGGGGAGGATTTCCCTTTCTTCCCTTCCCCTCTTCCAACGCCGGTGCTGCACCATGGCTGCACCGTGTTATTTCCAAGAATAGGCCCATCGATTGAGAAGAACGTGTACTAGTTAGCACGGGTTGCTCCCACGTCCGTCCGTTGTCCCCATGTTCACAATCGCATTGTTACAAACGACTGCAACGTTTCAAGCGTTCCTTGGAAATAGATACATACTTACGCTTCCGAGCGATACACAATACAGTGCGTGCCCCGTCTCATCAACGGTACGATACTGTGCTTGCACCGTCTCATTAATGAAGTTTGTGATTGCCTAGACCTTTCGGGGCTTGGCTTGGCTTGGAGGGATGATTGTTTTGCCCAAAGTCTTTTATCTTACCACCGCCAAATTATTGGCTTCCTATGGATCTTTCCCAAACTGTTCTCGCTCCTCCTTCCATCAACTTCGCCTACTTGAAAACAGCCATGCAAAGGTGATCAGCGTACGACTACAAGCAAAACAAAACTGGTGTTTCAACTCCATGCCCAAAAGTTCTGAATTATCTTGTCCTATCCTCCAACACTAAAAAATTAGAGAAACAAATGTAGTAGATGTAGTTTTGGTATTGTAGCACTTTCAAATAACTCCCCCCCCCCCCCTCCCCTCCCTCTCACTTTTGCATTTTGGTAGAAGTTCAACCTCTCAAAAAGTCGGAAGCGCGAGGAAATCACAAGACGCATAATTACAAGAGGGAGTTCTGGGGTCCTAATCTGGACATGGCGAAAAAGTCGGCGAGAAATCTGGCGGCCGTGATTGGCCAAGGCGTCACTTGACCTTGGCGCCGGTCAATCATAGCCGCCAGATTTCTCGCCGACTTTTTCGCCAAGTGTCCAGCTTAGGGCCCCTGGTCGCTAAGAACACGCGTGCCGCTACCATAGCTTGCCGAAAGATAGGAAAAAGCCCAGGGGAGAGCGTGGCTTATATAAGTTCTGCTGCGTTTAGAAGAAAGCTCAATCACTTTAGGGGCTTCAGTGGCTGTTCAGTTTTTGTCGTCACTCCCCGCTCGACTAGCTGACGCCGAGTTAGTTCTGATTTCGCCGAACATAGAGGCGCGACAAAAGGCGAAATCAAGCTTGGCTGAATCCACCCGATCGCCCTACGTTGAGTGATCGGGTGTTTGACAATAATTTGGCGAGGTAAATGACGATGGGCGGTTTTATGTTATTTAACCGAACACTATACTACACCATCGGCGTCGACTCAGCAATCGTTTGCTGATCAAGTGTTGAGCAAGGACAAAAATCGACCAGCCGCTGAAATGCCGCTGGTTCGCACAATAGCCTCGATGATAGCTCAGCTTTCCTCCGTTACACGAGCGGAAACTTTAGCCCATTCCTGCGCTTACCACGTGCTTCAAATCTTTATACATTTGACTGATTTCGTGGCTTTCGATGACGCTCAGAAAGTTTCTCATTGGGTTTATTTTCACTAGTTAAAACAAGTTAAGTAACACGTTTTAGTTAATTATCTGTCTTATCGCGAGGAATGGCACCCTACACTATGTCTCGGTGGTCATATAACTCACCTGCACATACCGCATTGATCTTCCGCTTTTTGTTTTTAACAAACACGTTGAAATTAAAATTGCCACGTGACTTTCCTGCGGCAACAAAGAACCCAAGGTAGAGAGCGAAACGAGCGTAGAAGTACTCGTACAATCCGAAGTTCAGTGATTCGTTTTAGACATCTTGAGTTCCTGCCACGTAGGCTTATTCTCGAGTGATGAACAGTCACCATCCGACGAGAACAGTTTTCTTCTTTCTTCCTTTCTTTTTCGGGCAGTTGCATTTGCGAGAGGCCATTATTTATCATTACTCTTTGGGCAACCCTCAAACACCCAAACCAAAAAAAAATAAAAAAGAACACGAGGCAAAAAGAAGATTGGGAATCAGGTCCTTCTCTCGCTCCATTCGATAACTGATCGCCGCGGTAGGACCGCCGAGCTTTGTTGTCTATTCGATGGAGCAGTTCGCTCTCCGCCGTCGCCTGTCGTAATAAGGTGACGCCCAGCGGCGTAGACTCTCCCTTTTCCCGGAGGAGGGCAAGGCTGAGAAGTTCTCCGGGGGGGAGGGGGCGCTTTTCCGCGCAAGCGGAAAATCACCCCCCCTCCCCCCCTCCCGGAGAAATCAACCTTCTCAGCCCATTTTCCGCGCAAGCGCAAAAGCACCGCCTTCCCTCCCCCCAACTCCCCCCAGAAGCACGCTGGTATTCCATTTTTTTATGTATTTTGTCAATAAAGGCAACGTGGGCATTGTTTTGTTTACATGCCACTACTAGAAGCTCGTTACATGGCACGTAAACAGCGCCTTGGTAAGGATCATGGTCCGGGCACGGGGGGGGGGGGGGGGGGGGGGGGGGGGGCACGAGCCCCGATGCCCCCCTCTCCTCCCCCCCCTCCCCCGTGCCAATAACCAATAACAATAAAAAAAACATCCAAGAAACAATCGCGAAGCGAGGAGTGTGAACGCCACACCCGCGGTGTGGGCAAAGGAGGGCTTGTTTGTAAACAGTGTTGTTGGTGTCCACCGTCCTCACATGTACGAGCACAACTGTGATTTTGCGGGCCTTTTTTTTTTTAATATTGTGTTTACGTGTTTTTTGTTTTTTTTAAATATACCTTATTTATTTAAAAGAAATCACGAGCCATTCGCCTCTGTGAAGGTGAATGACCAGCGAAGCTGTTTAGCACACTACACAGACGTGACACAGAATTTTGAACAAAGGTACGAACTATCGCCACCCCGGGAGAGCGGGACGAAACTAGGCACGCAAGTGCTTGGAACGACGACAAGGAGAGGGCGGTGCGAGTTTTTTGTTGACGTACATGAAAAATCCACGAAACTTCAGCCAAAAAAAACAAAAAAACAAAAAAAACGATTACTTGAGAAGGTATAGTATACAGAGATGTACCTGTCTCGAACGCCGGCCTTCCCTATCGACCAGTTTTACCGGTAATGCAGTTGGGAGGTGCTGAGGCGTAATTCTCAAAAAATGGGCGCCACCAATGCGCCTTGCCAGCGTCTAGGGGAAACATGCTGAGCCACTGGGCTTTTGGACGCGGGTGCAGAGTTTGACAGTCTATGAAAGGGAGCTATATATATATATTGCGTGTGCTCGGATCGCGTTCCACAGCCCGATGGCAGCGCGCAGAAGGCAATGATCGGAATGGTCTATAGTCGTAAATTGATTTTTTTATCGCAAAAATAAATTGTGCATCGCTGAACGCTCATTCTCCGCCCAGATTTAGCGGGTCCAAGCCAGGTACTAAAGTTTCCGAACTAGCCGTCATCTTATTCAAAAGTTTTAAGTGATTTTCTAAAAATTTAGACAAAAAAAAATAAATAATAAAGCCCGTTTTTGGTAACGAGTTATTGAGCTCCATGTATTGGGGAGCTCCGTCGGCCGCCATTTTCTCATTCAAATTTTCAGAAAATTAATTAAAACTCTCGAATAAAAGCTAGATCTGTCACCAGGCAGTGACAGGTTGTGAGCTATGCCTCGTGTCGAGCGAAAACTTTCTGCCTTTGATTGCACTTCGTCGCGGAAAGCAACGAACACGTGCCGGAGGCGGAGCTTCTACTGGTTCTTTACTAATCTGTCCCCGACTATACGGTGTGTAAGTTCGTCTGCTCGTTGCGCCCCTCGTCCGTTTGCTTGCCCCCCCCCAGACGCGCCCGCGAGCTTTTGTTTCCCCGCGATCGTAACCAACAACGGCGCGCGGTGTACCTGTCCTCTTGTCATCGCGCGTTCTTTACGCTGCTCTCTGATTGGCGATGCTCTCCACGCGTCCCGATGTGCCAAAGACACATTATGGAACGCTCGCTCTTCGTACACGACGTTTCAGTCGCCAGGAAGACAGCGACACCGTTTTTCCTTGACCAACCTTTGAGTGCGAGTGAAAAGCCACGGGCCTCCGGAAGGGTATACCGTCCACGACCGCATGCAGCAACGGCGTGCATATGCAACGCGGCAAGTGGCACCGTCGCCTGTCGATCGCCCGTGTGTCCGTGCTGTTAGAGCGTGTGCGGTGGGCGACGGTGCCACGCTTCGGCAGTTCATGTACCGTTGGCCAAGCCGCCGCGCGGTCGCCTTCCACTTCGCAGATTACATTCTGCTCATTCCCTCCGCCCGTTTACTAACGAGCGGCACGATGGTGGGCAGTAAGCATGCGCAGTATAGCTTCGCCGTTCCAAAAACCTGTAATCTGCTTCGTTTGCAGGCCGCGTATACGCTCCTCGGGGTTTGAAACGCTGATCTCAATCTTGGGGTTGTGGTTCTCCCAATGCCGAAATTGCGAGTTTATATTTAGGTATCGGTTATAGGGGAGTGCGAACACTGCTTCGATTCGAACCTCGCAGCGTCATCACTATAGCTTCAGCACTGCAAAGAGGGCCGATATTTGTGGGTTTCCCGAGCACTGCCAAGACTCTATATGACGGGGAGCTAGGCAGTTCGAATTACCACTCGCGCACTCCAATGGGGGCTTGAAGTGTTGAACGCCGATCAGAGCAGCGGTCTGATGTGAGCCGGTTTCACATAAACTATTTTATGTTCGTCTTATTTTTCCTTTTGTAGAGATCTCTGAAGGGAACGATACGCCATTCGTTCTCTTCTCTTTTTAAAGTATGAAGAAGAAGAAGAAAAAAACTATGTAGCAGTTTTGGAGCTTGCTGATTCGCCTTCGCGCGCGCTGTTTTCGTTTCCGCTTTCCGTCGTTAACGTGTTAAAAGCTTCCACTATTTATATGT